CTGCCACTTCTCGGAATTCCTGCGTAATGTCACAGGAGAATTCCGCCCAAGTGGGGAATCTCCAGTGTCCCTGCTCGTCCCGATATCGATAGTATTGGTCGCCCCACCACTGCTTCGCCTTCTCCCGTAGATAGCCCTGCGCGAAGGTGATCCGATAAGGATTCTGACCTTGATCGTTCATTGTGAAGTGCAGGGGGAATACCTGGAAGTACATTTCACAGTGGTGGAGGAATCGATTGATATCCTCAGATTCCCCTGTGAAGTACTCCGGTTGCGTGATAAGCTTGGGTTTGACGTCATTCCACGGGTTATTATCCTTGCCCGTGGCTAGCGTCCAGGGGGGAATCGGATCCGGGGGGGACGGCATAGAGGGCGGCACCGGAGGATTAGGCGGTCACGGTAGTGACCGTAGTCGATAGTTTTCCCCAGGCGGTGGGTAATCCCCTGGGTAGGCGGGTTGTCGGGGAAGCTGAGCGGGAGGCCGAGGCGGGACAGTGGACTGTTTCCCCTTGTCCGAGGGCCCAGCGCCTGGGTCGTCCATGTCGTCATCGTCGGGTCCTGCACCAGCCCAGAACTGCTCGGTCTCGAGCGGGTTCGGCATTGGTTGGGGTCGACGATAGGGCTCGCAGCCCGGCTGTTTAGCATCTGGGAACACTAGGTTCCAGACCATGGCGGCCTTGTGCCAGGTTTCCACTTCCAAGATGTTCTTCATGAGGTAGACATCCCCCATGGATTTGGCATACAGGTAGTCCTCCCCTGCTTCGGAGAGGAGCCACTGCGAATCTTTTTCCATATCCTCCATCATTATCTCGTATAACCCATGCCATGGTAGGATATTAAATATTGTGGGGACCGGAGCCGCAGGGTCGACCAGAACCGTTCAGACCGCCCTCATCACCTCTGTCTCGAGGGAACTGTTTGGCGGCCGACTCGGCATTCGCGGCCTCCTCCCTCTCTCAGGCGATTCTGTCGATCTCCCTGTTCCTCCGCCACCTCCCGATGTCGGAGTCGGGGTCACTGATTTCTGCCTGATAGGCATTCCAGGCCCTTCTCCTTGCCTCGAGGTCGAGGCCCGCTCTGCGAGCGGCTCCGGTGTATCGAACGGCAGCGGCGCAGATTCGGTTATCAACCTCATCCGGGGTGGCGTCGGGCTCGAGGGGAAGGTCCCACCAGCCTCCTGGCCCTTGGAGGGCGTCTTGCTCTGCACGTCGTATTCGTGCATCGTGCGCTCGGCCTCTGTCCATTCGGGCCTCCACTTCTGGGGAGAGCCGGGCATCTCCTGGGAGTCCGAGGGACTCGACGTACGTGTGATAGAGGAGGGGCCATGGACGCTGGGAGGCCGGGACGGGGGTGGCAAAGGCTCTCCCTGATACGGACGGTTCCCAGTTGGAGACTCCGGCGAGGCGCTCGGCAGCGGTAATTGTTCCAAGTTCCTCGTTGTCGAGGTCTGGGAACTCGCTCCAAAGCTCCCTACTCGTCGGCTCGTTCGGGGCGACGGGGGAAGGGACCTCAGAGGTCGTGGCCCCCTCAGAGATCTGGTCGGACTCTCTTCCAGGCGCAACTCCGGCCACAGGAGCCTCTTCCCGCCTGTCGGCGTAGACCCAACTGGTCGCGGGGTGCCAGGCGACTGGCTCTCCCCTATCGGTCGGCCAGGACCTTGAAACAGACTGTGACTCAGTTGAACTGGTGGTAGCCGTGGAGGCTCCGAGGCCAAGCTCTCCGGAATCACTGTCGAAGTCGTCCTCCTGGGCGACCCGGTATCTTCTACTCTCACCTCGCCAGACTGCGTCTGTCCACTTTGTTCCCGACCCTCCGCTGTAGTTATCTCTGGTATCGGTTGCATCTTCCTCCTCATTCGGGTAGAGGTCGTCGAGGAGGTCGTTGAGGCGGGTTCTTTCCCACTCGGTGAGCTCGTCCCCTTCGAACTCGGTATCAGCCTCTTCTTCGCCCTCGTCCACAGGCCTGGTGACGGGTCCTCCGGCTCTGTTGCCGCCAGACTCGCCTTGGACTGGAGACTGGTCGAAGAGACCTGGTAAGGGCGAGTCTCCTCGGTCGAGGAGTACCCCCCGGGTATCGGTGATGTCGATTGAGTCGACTGCTGCGCTGGAAGCGCTTCTGTAGGAGTCGGTGCTCGACTCTGAGGATCGCGAGCTGGGTCACGACGATGTGTAAAGGGATCCTCCAGATTCCCCGGAGGCGTTGGATTCGACATCTCCTATCGTTTGCTGAGATGCTGCGGGAATGTGAATTACCGGCAGTGGATATGCCGGGGTGCTGGGAACGTAGTGGAATGGGAGTTGTGTGCGGACTCGCCTCTGTTGTCTGAAACAGTGGTGTAGTCGGTACAAAGTAATGGACAAGAAAAAGAGTATGAAAGTCGCGAAGACGGCGAGAGTGGAGTCAGACCAGGGCATCCGTAATTGGATCTATCCTTGGCGTAAGTCGACGACAGACCATGCAAGCTGGTAAACAGCGAGTATGGTGAGGACGATGAGGAGTGCGATAATCAAGCTAAGGTCGGTCTCGTAGTTGGAACCGTTCATTAACACAATTTCGCAGTTTTCGGAATCGGAGGTGCTCGTCAATACTAACAGCAGAACTGTTAATATGGATGCGAGCTGGAGGGTGAGGATGAAAGGTTTCATGTTTTTAATAATGGCGTAAGAATCCGACCCAGAGGAGCAGGAGGAATCCTGCAAACACCGGGGATGGGATGTATACGCAGGCGAGAAACACTCGAAGGATGGTTGCTACAACCAATCCTAGAGGGTCGTTCAAGAGGAATTGTAGCACGGAGAGTGCCACAACGATGAAGAGAATGATAGGAAAAATGTTGGGCAACGGTTCGTCGTTGGGCAACTGAAGACGAGCTTCGGCTAAATGTTAGCCACTAACTCAAATCGACTTAGATCGTACTAAGGTCGCTACTCGCACTTCGGTAGACGACACTTTAGCAAGTCAAAGGCGATGTAAGTCAATGGGACAGATAGTCACGAAGAACGGAGTTCGATGTTAGGTAGATTAAACCTTAGCCGAAGCTGGGGTTCAGACCAGCTGAGGCTCTACTTAAATACACGTAAGTACGCTAAAAATAGTACTGTGGGAGTCAGTCTGTGGTGATCACGCATCGCGTAATCTGGCTGACTAAAGAAAAGAAAAGAAAAGAATAACCGTAACAATGGGCACATTTCTTTCTCTTCTCAAAGCCATTTACTCGTGGGATGTGGGATTAGAACTGGTATATGTACCATACAAGTAAAGGGTGAGTTACTCGGCATTAACACCTTTGAACAATGATCATTATACCCGCTTATGCAGATACGGATTCAGATTCGGCACAGTTAATTAAACAAGGAAAAGAAAAAGAAGGATGTATCTGTTTCTCCTGCCGACATCTTCCAGTGCTGTTGTTCGACTATTTCTATCATTGTAACACCTACAATAGAACAGAATAAGCTAGAGTACTCCTCACCAGGTCTCAAGGATGTACTTCCACTATATCTTTCATATTGCAGAATCCATTGATCTCACTCGCACTGATCCTGATGATCTGCTCTTCCCGACGTGTTTGATAGGCAAATATCCGATGTGTCAGATATCCTTTCATTCATAGAATTCTGCATTCTGGCATGTGTGTGGCTGTCCTTCACTTAATAGCATCTTTTCTCATTCACCACGCAATGGTTTAGATGGTAGGCCCATATACTGGAATTAAAAACTGCGATGTCTTCAATTTCTGCATGCCCTGTATATGCTTATGATGCAAAGAATTAAGGATCAAGATGGTGCAGCGCTGAAGTATCCTCATACAATCTGACACAGGCTGCTCTGTGTTATTTCTTCCACTAATCTACAGTAAGTTTTTCTGCACTTGGGCTCAGTTTCACTCATTAATCATCGACAACGCAATATGATAAAAATAACTTTATGGCTATATTGCTAATCTTCAATACATTTCATCTACAAGGCCAGCCTTGTTCCTTTCTGCTGCCCTCTGGGAAGATTTGATGGCCATCACCTATTCTTTAAGAGAAATGGTTAGCGTGAAATGAGGGATAAATCCATCATAAGTACCTGTTGCATTCCAGAACATGAATCAGGTTGAAATAAGAGTGAATCAAAGGGGAAAATCACCTGGTCCTTATTGACTTTTTCTCTACTTCTTCTGAAATTGCTTAGTGGAGGATTAGGACTGAAGCACATCTTGTTAGAATATGGATTGCTATTTTAGATGATCGAGCTTGCATGAATATTCTTGCTTGTTCTCCCCATATTCCCTGGGATGCTTACTCATTTTATTAGTGGTATATTACTCATTTATTCTAGTACATTCCATGTAGTCTAGTAGTATAAAAGCAATGTAGTTAGTAGGGCATTGCTAGCATGATTGCTGTGAACATTAGTTCCTTTGTGCTTACCTGTGAAGCATGAGTCCTTACACATCTCAGTGAATGTAGAAATCCTGGAAGTATAAGAAAGTATGTTGAGAGTGATAGAAACAAAATTGAGACTATTGAGACCTCTTCTAAGTATAAATGATGCCTTATCCCTGCTCTTCATCCTGCCTCTCTGTCATTCAACTTGTGCAAAACAAACTATTATCCTATTTTCAGCAAAGGAATATTTTATCATAGACTTGTGCATTATCAATCAGTGAAAGGTGTCCAAGTTGGGAGGCATCTGCGATTTGGATCACTGACACTTTTTCAAACTTCCCATCCTTTTGTTGCCACCCAACTGCCCAATGTTTTGAGAGTCCAGAGGAACAGCTGCCTATGAGTGTATATGAGCCATCAGGTATTGGGTATATATGATCAGCAAGGATCTTGAATATATGAGTTGTCCCAGTGCAATCTTTAAGCACCCACTCGCCCTGTCGAGGTATCCCTTTCTCTGATACCTTGCCCAGTCCCTGCAAAGTACCTGACTTGACACAGGAACCATGACATAAGTCAGCACCTATCTCCTCAGTCTGAATTTGCACTGTCCATGGAAGAATCCTAGTATGTGATATAAATGGCATTGCCATTATCTGATTCCATGATGGTTGCCAACGTCTGTCCATTCCCAGGTTCAGGGTATGAGAAGAGCAATTCCACACAATACATCTCAAACATCACCTCTGTAAGTGCTACCCAGACATCCTCTTCAGATTGTGCCTCATTGTATATTGGGATAGATTTCTTGGAGAGAAAGTATGCCAGGCCAGCTACTTTATCGAGAGGCTTTGTTGACATGCGATTCTGCATCTGTGACAGGATGTACCACATGCTCTGATCTCTCATGTTCTGCAATGATTGTAGTTGTCCATCACACCTGGTTTGCATGTCTTCATCCATCCAGTGATTTCCAGTCACCCCACCAATGATATAATCACAGCTGACCTCCTGTAGTGTCCATGCACACCTGAACCAGCACTGATCACTTTCCAAGTCCCCCAACTTCAAACAAAATGGATGACCCAGCCCACTGAGGTAATACACCACCTTTGCCTCATGATAGATAGCTCCAATGGTAGGAACATCAACCTTCCACTCTTCTCTGCACAAATCCTCCCTCTTCCCACCTGCTTGCCTCAAACACAGAACATCTAGCCACACATACTGAGCTCCAAAGTTCAACATCTCAATCTGGATGTGATTGAGGTCTGCATCTTTGGGAATTGGCACAGGCCATTCATAGCCATTGATGGGTGTCCACACATCTTTGTGCTCCTGGTCAGACATCCATGCATGGGATATTGCATATGGAAAAGAGGCAGTCATATATGGAACCCAATATGGCACCACTCGATTTGCATACAGATCCCAAACATGCCAGGGTGGAATATTTCCATCAGAGATCCTGTTATTGGTGACTATACTCTGTCGCATTTCCTGATCCTTGTCCCATAATCAGTGGATACATTTGACACTAGTCAAGTTATACCAATATGGATGCAAATTAGCATAGAGAGTGCCAAAGTCATAATTTTGTCTTATGAAGGATTTGAGAATGGAGGACAAGATAGGGTTATCAAGAGTATATAATGTGCTGAGTGTCACATTGAGCTTCTCCAAGACCCCGTTCATACTGAGGTCTGTTGGAAAACGGGGTATCGGTTTGTTCCCAGTATCACATGTGCAGTAGCAAGCCAATAGTATTGTGCTTGGCTGAGCTCTGCAAATGCATGAGAATCTACTACATAGTACCTACTTTTATACTAAATACTATTTTACTAGAATCTTCCATGCTTTTCCTAAGACTTCTACCTTAATAAGCAACTTTGGCATGATGCCGGATTGCCAAATCCCAACAAGGTCAGAGCAGGGAGTGTCAGCAAGAGTGGATTGTATGACAGGCATGCTATCAGTGTAGGACTGTTGCTTCAGCACTGGAATGGTTGATTCTGCTTGACCGGTCTCAGTGAGGGCAGAGAGTGTGACCTTGGGGAGATTCATAAACTTGAAAAGTGGTATAACTCTCTGAAATGTGTTATTCCTTGCCTTTCTACACATACATTGAAGTGCTTACCACTTTTGGCCAATTCCGTTCTAAGGGATTCTCGTCCGACCATTTCTCCTGATGCATCCTTTGTTTTCTTCCTGGTGGTAGTGGAATAAGGATACAATGGATTGAAGGCAGACAACCACACATACCAATGTCCAGAGACAATGTACTCGTGTTAATACCAAGCTCTGGTTTCACCAAAGGTGTTACTCATGCTGTCCTCATGGTAAGAAGCAAGCTATCCAGACTAGCGCCTGGACCATCAAAGGTGTGCCACAACTCCCCATCAGCCACACTGCTGAAGATCCAGTAGACTTAATTCTGTAGATAAAGCATCATGACCAATCACCCACCATTGATTTACATTCTCGATGGTGGTTTGGCCCAGAAATGACTGGACTGAAATCAATGTCGGCAGGGTAGGGTTTTGTGAAACACTCATGACAAAGGAAGGATCGAATATCTTCGTTTCATGCATATGGATCTCCGCGCATTCCTCCTCGCTGTACTGGACATAACTGAGTAATCAACTTGTAGGGAGAAGAAAGTGCCTGTCTTTCCCGATGGCACTCTCATCTGCCGGACCCCTCATCCAGTTGCAGTTGAGCTAGTTCATTCACTCATTGAGCATATCAATGCAGGGAGAAACAGTCAGTTACCAGACGTTTATGCTTCTTTTGCTCATCGGACGTGATAACTGCAAGCACGACAGAGTAACTTGTAAATGGACAATTGTGATGCTACATCAGTCATATTCCTTACTAATAGTATGCTCTCGAAGTGAAACAAGCTATTACAAAAATTTCACAAAAGAAACTGCAAAAGAACGCTGAACAACCCTCAATAGTCACCACACTACATCACCCGAAACCTCATCATCAACCCACAGAAACACTCCTTCCAAAACTGCGTCTTATCTTCTCCCCATATCGGAACCCAACATCCAAATTCCCACCACATTTCCTCGTCTTGGCCATCCATAGCGTTCCCTTCATCTTGCGCGTAGCTGGAGTAATGATCACAGCGTCGGCAAACCAATTTGAGGATGTGAAGGATGGGGAAGCAAGTCTGTGCAATGGTATTGTGGATGGAAGGTGAGCATGTTGCAGGTTATGCTTGGATTGGGTCACCAGTCTGGGGCAGGACTGTTTCATCAATCGAGGGAAGCTGATTGGCATCGTCGAGAAGGGTAACAAGCCATGGAGAGTCGATGATCACGCATTTGAGGTGGCAGAGGTATGCAGGCTCGGCGCACAGAAAGGTGAGCGGTATCGAGAAGACCAGTAAATCGAGCTTCTCAAGCGCAAGGTTTGTTGAAATAGAGTCTTCGAATGGCGGGTGGCAGAACTAGGGGCGATGGTGTGCCTCCCGGATATACTTGGATGAAAACCCAACATAGGAACAACCCATGTGCATTTGTTGGTGTATGTGTAACAAGGACAAGCCATTACGAATATGCCATTACGAACACCCCACCAGGAACAAGCAGTTTCTGATGGTTGAATCAGATGGGACCGTGTTCAAATTGACGGAACATTGACTGGAGGTGGCAGATAGGCGGGTATAAAGAGTGATCTTGTTGGCATGTGACTGGAATTGCCGAGTTGTGTGTGGAGGCAGGGCACTTCTGAATCGAGCTGAGAACGATTTAGCGAGTTTCTAATGGAATCCTGGTGACATACGTACAATTGACAACCAGTGATAACTAAATCTTTGGATAAGTTCAGAAGTGTACATCCCTAGTGCTTCCCGGTGGTCTATGAATGCATCAGTGATTGAACAGCAGAAAGAATCAGCTATCTTACACTGTGCATGGGAGAGGCGAACGACTGGTATACAGGGGTGAACAAACACATCTGTTGGTTCACTCCCTGGCCGTTGTCTTTGATTCGTGCCTTGACTACGAATGTAATGACTACACGTAGTCATCAAAGCGATGGAGATGCATTGTAGGAGAAAAACGTACCCGGAAGGATGCCTGGTCAAATACCACCTGATTCAACTTGTCATGAACACTTGACATCCTGCAAGAATAGTGTCAGTGGCGTGAAACCAACGACTCGAGGAACGAGCACATACATCTTCCCTCCCATCCATCATTTACCAGCTATATATCGCCAACACGACCATCCCCACAGCACAACACGAGCCTCATGTCAGAACATGAATGATCACTCTACATTCGGCAAAAAGATAAGACCGTGGAGGTAGAGAAAATGGCCTGCCACTTCCTGACATCTGAAATCCCAAGCCTTTCCTCATCTTGACCATCCCTAGAATCCCCATCATCTTGCACGTAATCTTCATGACCTCGAGATGGGAAAAGAAGGTCGGAATTGAGAGTAGCATACATGCTCTCATTGCTTATGACCAGGTGGAATGAATGATCTGCCCACTGCAATCGCTCCCCCTTTTGATGACGGGATCCAAGCTGTCAGTAGGAGAAAGTGAATAATGATGTAGTCGTTGAAGATGAGCACCCGCCAAAATGGACAGTGATGGTTTTCCAGGATATTAACATAACGTCCATAACCGGGATAGCTATGGGTGAGGCAGAGTGAGAGGCATTTAGCACGGGAAGGATATGCACACCATTGGTGAGGAGAAAGTGTTTAAACAAAGCACTGATGGTCAACTGAAAAAAGGGGAGCTCATAATTGGTATCTTCAAGGAGCATGGCCTCATAGCATCTATGATCATGGCGGAATGGGGGAACACGCAAAAAGGCGTGTTGTAGAGTCAGCCGATGCTGAGCATATGTAGGTGGGGTGCCTGTAGAGATGCTAGCAGGGTTAAGAAAAGCCATAAATCGAACCTCTCAAGCACAAGGTTTGTTTGAATCGGTCTTCGACTTCTGGGATGGCAGAGCCAGTGACGATGACGTGCGTGAGACATCCAGGCTCCTGGTCATACTCCGATGGAAGCACAACGTACGAAAAGTTGGTGCGCATTGCAGACCCCAGCATCGTGCCATGACAAGCACACCACCAGACAACAGGCTCTTTGAACAACTCGGACCTGGGACCGTGTTCCAATTGATGAAATGTTGACATAAGCAGTTTCGGTGGGAGATGGTGGATGGACATGCACAAAGAGTGAACTTGTTCGAGTGTGACTGGAAGCGTCGATTTGTGCGTGTATGTCTGATTTGAGCTAACGGATGACGCTCCCGATGTCGCAGACATGTCTGCCATTTGTCTTTTCGTTGAAGGAGCTGGGGGAGCGAATATGCAAACAAGGAGGGGATAGCAGATTCAGGGGCATAGAAGGCTTCATATATCCTGGAGCGATTTAGCTAGCTTCTTACGCATACGATTGACAACAGGCGACAAGTAATGTTTGAAAACAAGGATAGCAGTGCTCATTCCTAGCGCTTCGCGGTGATCGCTTACAGTGTACAACATTTTCAGTAGGAGAGATGAATGGACGATAAAGGGAGTGAACAAGGGTTTCTGGTAGGTGCCTCCCTAGTCGTCGTTATCGATTCATGCCTTAATTACATACAACGGGAATGACTGACTATAGGTCGTCGTCAAAGTGATGAAAATGCATCATAAGAATGAAACTTACTTGGAGAGATGCCAGATTGAATTTAGCGGGTCTCACTGCATGACACGGACGCTTGTCATCCATCCTGCAAGAATAGAGTCACTGCTTCAGCCATAAAACCAACGATTCAACAAATGACCACGTACCTCTAAACATTCGCTCAACGGTTCACCAAGCATACCTCGAATAGACATGCCCTGCCCTTGCATGTGATACGTGGATCCTCGTCTAGTCAGGCATAGGAAAACGCTACACTTCTGCCCTCGCCGGTGTATCTGCCTTCCTCGTCTTCCACCTTGCATGACTCATTCTGACCCGAAATGAATACATCATCTCAGTAAGGAATTCGACTCCCAGTCAGCTCATAGCGACATGGAGGTCCCCATACCCGTGTCCAAGGGAAACCAGTCAACAGGTGGAGCACAGGAACCTGATCAAGTATGGCAAATGAGCCTCGCTGCCCTAAGATTCTCCCTTCAAAAACTGGTTACTGTTGTTGAATCACTTCATAAACTGGTCGACAGTCTTCAAGAGAGAGCAGAAGTCACAGAAGTATGGAGACGAAAAGGAAAGAAGCGCGATTTGTTTGTCTCTCTAGGGTGCCAAACAATTGCATAGCAGGCCCATGCGCATTTGGTGTCCGGGGTACCTTCAACGGCTTCGATCAAGGGTTTTCTTGTAACCTCTTCTCTGGCGCTCCTCACTTCACCGTTCCGTCCCACTTCAGTGGAGAAGGGTTATTGTTCCTATTCGATGAATCTGGGGAAGGATATTCATATGCCTCACAAGACTTATACGATGCACTTCCTCAAAGTGACCTATTCCTCATGGCCCCAAATCTGCCAACATTGGCTCCACCATGCAATCCTCTGAAAATTGCAGTGCACGTCAAATGAAAGGCTACCAGCATCTGCAACGTGGTTAAGCCAGAAAATCACAACGGTCTGCATTACATTAGTCCGATTGGTAGTGGGGTTATATCGAAAATCATGAGTGCGCACCCTTCTCTTTTACAGGAATTCATTCACTGAATCTTCGCGTAGATATATGGAATGTACACGTGTCCCTCACCGCTGAAAGGCTGGTTCCCACTCAAAATAGACCCAGATTCCGCATAGCAAGCATTTGGTTTAGGCATCAGCTAGCCGTGTGCAGTCGCGCTCTTCCATGGAGGCTTTCCTTCTATTTCATGCGATCCGCATACCTTTCTAGGATGCAGCATGTATACTGTACAACGCAGAACTCGTTTATTGCCGACAGTGATAGCTGGGCTTTCTGTACTTGACTGTATGTTGATATTCTGTCCTTAAAAGGTGGCTTCAGACACTCGCCGAGTCCAGAGTACCTTCCTACAAGCGCATACCATGTTTGGGCTGTGTGCCTGGCCATTCCTTATTGGGACCTTGTGCCGGTACCAACACCAACACCAGCACCATTCCTTGGTACTGAGTAAGGTCGAGAAAAAGCTGTCAAAGCGTCAGCAGGGGGAACATGCTCTTGCATGCTGACTGAGAGTGGGAAGGGTACACCTCCGTTGTTCTTATCTCCCTCCCTTTAACGAAGTGTCTTGCAGTCTGTGCCTTTGGTTCTGGAGAGAAAGGCCAGCTCGGTAACAGCACAGCTGGCAAGCGTATCATGACGGTCAACAAGACGGGGTTCGATATCGTGTACAAACTCGTGTTGGTGAAAGATCTGGGACCTGAGAAGATTATGCAGTTGTCGTCAGGTCAGTAGCATTCGATTGTGCTGGATGAGAAGGGGTACATGATTCCTTCTCACCTTCTCACCCTTTCCTTCTTCACTGCGTCACCTGTGCCCTCTTCACGCACCTTTGCCTCTGCTTAGAGCTCATCCTTACTCTTCTTATTCGAGACCGTTCAACCTTGTTCTCTGTTGCTAACTGCTCTTTACAGTACCGTTCATGTCTGGGGATACAACGGCTCTAGGCAAGTAGGTCGACGTGCTCAGGCCAGGAGAATTTTGCGAGTGACACTTGCGAGTTGCGTTCAACTGCGGTTAATTTGCATTCAACTCAAGTTGAATTGCATTCGCTTGCGCACATATGAATACCTTTATTTGTGTTACATACAAATACTTAGTTCTGTTTTAAAGACACCAGTAAAGTGTGTCTTATTTCAAACATTTACTTACTGTTTCCGAGTTTCTGGATATGTCCCACCAGGCTAATGTTGCTTACTATGACTCAGGAAGGCCATTGAATAATACAAAAATGGTAGAAAGGTATAGGTGTTGGCTACAAAAAATATCTCTCCATCACAGCGACATTTTACTTCGAAATGACTAAGAAATCTCACTTTTTTTGAACTTGGTGCGATGGACAGGTTCTCCAAAGACCAAAACTTGCTTGTATATCCCACAAAGACGTCACACATGTATTCCAAGGTCGAATGCAAGCATTAAGAAGATGCATGCATGTGAGCAACTGTGGCTCGCAATTGGCTTGCAAGTGTGACAGAAGTGTGACAGCATGTAACATTTGCGTTCGACTCGAGTTGAACCGTCTTAACTCTTGGTCACTTCTGATATTTTGGAGTTACTGGCACCTAGTCATCCCCTCCATACCCATTTAATATTCCTATGATATATCTTCTATTGAACTTGACCCTCTCTGACCAGCAGCCAATGTTTGACTTACCTTCCTTCCTCCAAGTCTGTTCATGCCTTACACCAATTTTCTTGGTATTAGACCCCCCCATTCATGACTGTTGAAATAAATCATTGATTTACTAGATATTCCAAGTCAATTAATCACTCCATAGGTTGATGTTTGGGCTCTTGAGTTTTAGTTTTAAGCTTTAAGAGGGTTTTAACTCAAAATAACCATCAACTTTCCGGTCTTTACCAAAAGGTATTATATATTTCTAAGTCAAGAAGCACTAACTAAATTATACAGCTATTTTTATACAAGAAATCTCAAGAAGGTCTTTGTCATGCTCACACACGCAAATATGCAAGCATGACAATCACATGTGAGAGAACGCAAACGCATGCTCGCAAGTGCGCTCGCAAAAGTCTATGTGCCCAATGTGCTCCGACCCAAGCAGGTGCCCCCAATTTGCTGGAGTGAATGCAGGCATGCTCGTCGCCACTGGGCCCAATAACTTGGTCATCATGGATAAGGGTGGAATGTACAGGGTGACCAGCACAGTGCGTACCCTCTTTGTTAAGCTCATGCCATGGTACCGATGACCGACTAGTGGAAAAACTCTGGAGACAGGTCATCAGGCTCACCATATAGCAGCTTCCGGTACATGCCTGACATCATGGGCTGCAAAATCACTGTCACCGCATCTGGAGGAGTGACACATTGGGTGTTGATGCCAGATGACGAGCACAAGTGCGTGATGACCATTTCGTAGGTGCAGAATGCTGCCAACGGTACAGTCTTCCCTTCCATTCCCGACCAAACTTCGATGCTAACTTCTGGACAAGTGAACTCGGTCTGGGACCATCTAAACTGAAATCGGCTACGAAACCCATCAAGCACCAGTTACTTTCCGGGCTCGACATGTTGTCTGTCATGTCGGGACAGAATACGACTCTGTTCCTCGTTTGGCCATCCGACAAGATGAGTGAGCTACCATGACATCCTGTCGAGGTCAAAGTGAGCGACATCTGCGTCAGGAAGACGAGGAAGAGGACTAGAGTGTGATAAGGTACATCGACATTTTGTTTCTCTTCCTTCCAGTACTGATACAACTCATTTAGTGCAATAACCATACCATCTATCGTTCCTCACCCCACCTTTGACGACCGTACCTGAGGGTGAATGGTTCTGCCCCCAATGTATCAGTGCGCCTGTCGGGCGGCGGCTGAAGGCAGATGGTGACTCCAGTAAGAGAAAGGTGCCGCTGAGTAGTGGTGGGAAGGCGAGCGCACCGAAGAAGAAACAGTAGCTGTTATCATGGTGGGCCACGGGACTATGTGTTATCTCATATGTATCACCTCAAAATATTCATAGAGCACCACTATAATGCATTTTTTTCGATTTATTTTCACTGTGGACTCTGTATTAAGGTTTTGTGTTTTTCAAGAAGTGGGAACATTGATGATTTCTCTTCTTAGTTGAACTGGTTTATCATATTCTACAAACTGGTCGGAAAATGGAGGGTATGCCATCGTTGTTCTAATCATTTTCTTTCTAGCTGACCTCGTCATATACAGACTTTTCTCGAATCTAATGTAACGTTCATTCACACTGCTATGTGTTATGGGTTCGAACGCCTCCCAAAAAAGAAAATTTTGTCCCATACAGCACTTTGTAGCGAAAACGTAATCGTTCAAAGACATGCTGGGAAGGACACTATGAAACAATCCCTCCCTGACACCATTACATCAAGACCATCTCTGGGAACACATTCCTGCTGATACTGTCATCATCTAACAATACTTGGATTGCTGATGCGTAATACTGCAGAGGCCGATGCTGCAATTCCGATACTATCATCGACTGTCGCTGCCAGTCATTTTCGACTTCAGGTTCTCTCTCTATCGCAGTGTACTTCCACGTAGTCATGACTCTTAATCACAGGCCACAGGAAAAACCTGACTAGGCATGGTGCAGAGGACATATTCCTGACAGTATGGTTCTAGGATCTGCGATTCTCCATCTTTATTTTTCCATTGCTGTTTATGCCATTGGAAGAAGAGAAATGTGATGAGCAGGTGAAGGTGACTATGCCGAGCACAGTCCTCACAATCACAAACTCATCATGCGACGTTGGAACAGCAAATAAAATAGCTGATGCCGACAGACTGTTGGCATTTTAAAAGACATAGTGGTGACTGGCATTTCCTCCGAGTCATTCTGTGAAGTTCCAGGCAATGGATTATGTCTTGAGGAAGACGTTAAACTCTCAGGTTTCGATTCTGGGCTCAGAGGTGGTACAAGACTGGGTATATTTCTTCAAGCCGGATAGTAAGCCACACCATTTCAATGGATCGTCGTCGTCCCAGTAAAAGAATACAATACTCGATGACCCAAGCCCACAAGACAGCCGGTTCTTCGGAGAATTATCTGGGTTCGAAGCATCGTAAAAGGTATGTTCTACCATCTCATTTAAATTTACAAGTTTCCAACCACTGAGCTATCAAATGCATCAAATATCGAGCTGCAGCAGTCAGAACCTCACTGAGGTGCATCATTCTCTGCATGTTGTTTGCCTCCATTCACTCATGCCCTTGCAGCTCTCAACAGAGTTCTGTACCCAGCGAAAACCTGACAAAAATGAACACCCAGTTACCCGATTTACTTTGAGGCAACTGTAGCAATAAGTTATCATTTTACAACCCTGATGAGGATCAATATAGACAACTCGGATCGGCAACGCAAGACAGGCATTTATCAAAGCGCTCAATGCTGATGCAGATGACTGTAGTGTCTCAGGAATTGGATTGTAACAAAACAACATGAGATGTTAGAGCTTATGCATTCAAAGAAATTCAGGACACTATTTAACTCTAATTAATCATTCGACCACTCATATGTCGACAATGCTAATCGTTCCTAACCTCCGTACTTAACAACCGTCAGGAACAGTCTCGTCATCAACGTAGTCCACAGCATTCATTCCCAATCTGCGACTCGCAAAAGCGTCCCAGAGGATGCAAAAATTGGCCCCGTTGTAGCGATTCACATCTGCTTGGATCCACGCATCGCGCACATCCACGACTACAATTAAAAGAATTGAATTGAACGGGACCTGAAGAAGTGTGTATAAGCACTTACAAGTCGGATTGCAAGGCTGCAGAGCAAGTGCATCGATGAAAAGGTGGAGGTACACAACATTTCCTTCTGATCCAGAAGGGTCCTCCATAGCAGTTGCCGACCATCCGTGCACTCCAACAAGAGCTGCATATACATTGTGCAGCATGTTAGCCCATACTTCCCCGATATCTGGACATGCCTCAGTTACTACATATTCTACACACTTAACAAATGGGACGTACCGTGAACCTCGGAGAGTTGAGAAAGGGCTGAGTAGCGGAGGGGGTTGACGGCAGGATCTGTGGAGTATGGGAAATGGCGCATACCAGCAGTGTTGTTCAAAACCCAGGTTCCTATTACAAAGTCAGTTATGGTCCCGCTCTTTTGTTCCGTCCACCTGAAGTATGGCATGAGTGTCATGACAACAAGGAATGGGAATGTGAAAACCTACTCTGCCATCGCATCAGACCATCCTGAGAGGAATTGAAGTCAAATTAGGTGCTTGCTTTCTAAATGCTCAGAGATGGTACCTTCACCCAATCCCTGGGATTCATTGTCCTGTAAGCATCGAGCGGTTCTGCCACCAGTCATACAATTAGTAAGACCATGTGTAAATTCATGAACGATGATATTGTTCTGAAGGTCTGCATCATGACGGGAGGTGGTCAAAGTAAAGATGTACATGCGGCAGGTACCATTTTGACCACTATAACTAAAATGAGCTGACTTGTTGAAGGATTTAAAGATGAACTTACTCGGGAAGAGTTAGAAAATTGGCGTTATTGAATCCAGAGGAGTCCTGCATGAACATCTGCACGCAATCTCCTTCAGCTCCTCCTTTCCCGAAATTGTCCAATTGGAAATTATATGCCAACTCGGTCCAGCCATACTTGTATGTGAAGTCGTGGACCTTGTTAATGATATAGAAGGCGTTGGTATGGGCCACATCAATGTTACTTCCCTCCGTTGGGTCGAAGTCGACATCATATGGGTAATCAAATGTGTCGGTGGATGATTCTACAGTTGTATTAGTTGGCATTCACTTGTAGGACATGACATTATTTCCACTATGGAACAGTAAGTGATTTTATTCTGAAAATGTTGGAATAAAAGACCAACGCCGTCTCGGCATTCTGCACCCATCCTAGGGGAGAAGAATCAAGGTCTTCAGGATCAACCAGAGTTTCTTCGCCCTCCAACACATTCTGTTTAGTTATCGGTAACACCATGTACTGCATATGTATAAGACATACATCTGAAAGCAAGAGATGGTGGAAGATTTACCATAGCTTCAGTGAGAAAATCAGTGAGGGCAAGGATATCTCCTGAATTCACATCAACAAATGCTTCGTAGCCTGTATTGGTGGCGGCATTTTGGACTTGAACTACATGAGTGAGTGTAATAGACCCGTCAGACTGGACGAGATATTCGAGCGAGTTTATGCCACTGTAGGTGGCAGAAAACACGTCCTCGACCTTACTAATAATAGAATCCAGAGCAATGGATGGCTCGGATGATGCAATGCTTGCTATGTACGACGTCAATATTAGAAGCAAAGACAACAGTTAAATTAACTTACAGGTATCCACAAATGAAGACCCGAAGGCAACTGCTTTACCATTCTTGAAAGCCACATTTGCAATGGCGTTCGCCAGAGGAACTCCGTCCTGCAAAAGGTTGATAAGTGACCTCATAAGAAAAGAAAGGATGCCGTACGTGATACTGCTTTGCATACATGTAGCTCATTCCATTCTCTGCAGTGCAACCAGAGCTATAGGCAATGGCGGAAGAATCAACGCCGAGCTCTGAAGCAACAAAGGAAATGGTAGATGTCTGTAAGTCACCATTAATGAACGAGGTGACCTCTTTCCCTTCTCCATAAGTCTATAAGACACTATCAGAGTGAAAAGCGAATCAAAGAACGCGGATAAACTACCTCATATGACACCTTGGGATGGTAGCTCTCGATCTTCAAATCGCGACCAATGGTCTTGACTTGGTGAGTAGAGCCCTTTGAATAGGCTGGGTTGGGTGAGGCCTTGACAAGAAGTATAGCAAGGAATATGGTAGAGAAAAAGCTAGTGCCAAAAGTGCGCATATTCTGTTCTGCTTAGGTGGATGATAGATAGATGAGGAAATATCCTGTGAGCTAACTCAAACAGTCAAGACAGGTTATATACTAGTGGTCATTTTCTACGAAGGCTAGCCCTGACAGTATAGAGATATTTGGTTCCCCAAGTGATGAAATTGCGAATACATCGAAGCTCAAGTCACCACATGCACACATTCCTGAAGTGACAGAAATAGAGAATTCCAGAATCCAGGCATGTGGTTTATGCATGGCAAAAGAAAGACCAAGAAAAGCACACAGACCACGGTATACCATTTCCTCCATTCCAGGAACACTGATACTTTCATCAGTTTTAAGACACTGATCAAGTGCCACGAGAATAGCCGTCTTCGTATCATAAGTTCTGGTCGTTGCGCTCACAGCGGATAATTAATGCGGCATCAGCTATTACGAGAGAGAGGATAGTTCAACCTGGTCGACAACAACGCAATGACAGAGCTATAGAAAGGTAATGAAAAGAATTGAGCTGTTGGAGCCACCTCGCATAGTCCAGAGGAGAGGGAACAGCACTACACTGTTCATAGGTAAGTCTGCACTGGTCCAAATAGGGAACCTATGCTAAGCATGACTCCCGTTCTGAATGCCATGTGATCCTGGCCCAACCCTGCCCGATATCCTTGCATGCATCTGAGTACTCTTCGATTACTTACTTGAATTTGTACATGGTCAGAATACCGTGCCATGAAGTTTGAATTTTAGGCACAATCATCACCAACGTTAGAGATTTTTAAAAAGTATGGGTAACATAAGTAGTAGGATGGACACTGTCATGTTTTTGGCGTAGTGCTCCCAAAAGACCAGCAGGAAGACTCAATAAATATAAAATCTTTATTAAAGTTACTGGTGGACATATGAACTATTGGATTTAACCAGCGCTAAGCCGGGATCCCGTCACCTACTGTCCTGTATTATTCATTTCTATTGTTTGTTAAACAAGCTGCTATTTTCATTCACTTCCCATTCTCAAATGTCAAAGAATCTGTCCATAGAGAAATGGAAGTCGAACAAGTTACCTTTCGTCGAACAACATTGTCCCTGTGCTCCAGCAATCAATGTACAGTCAGAATAGTAGAATTTCATCTGTGGTTATCTATTCCCACATCAAAGCACTGCGAGCTGTAACCCAGGGAATGAACACATCTGCATTGTCACACCCAGGCACATATTTTGAATTCAGGCGTTTTCGGAGCCCGGAAATACAGGAGAATATCAAAAAGATAGACTAGGTCACCAGACAGACGAAGAGCCAGTGCCTTGAAAAACAGAAGAAGGAAGCAAAATGAAGATGTCATGACACTACTTATGGGTGTGGAATCTCACTGGAACCAGTCCATAATTTCCGGATAAACAACACAGCACTTAGTGTAAACTCAGGAATAAAATAGTGTAGTGCTTTCAAGGCGAAATCGGTCAGCATCTATGATTACCCATACTTTCATGCCGGCCAACTCAGAAATTTACGGAGCGGTGTCTCGCATATCATTTATTCTGCAATACGTTGCCCACTTGGCTGTTGGGACATCATCTTGGCAACATTAATCTTTCAATCCGCATTCTGACAGGTATAGATAGCAGTGATTATATCCATTATTTCAAAGGCTCAAGTAACCCTTAGGACACTGTACACGACACAGCTTGCCAGCATTCAAGGGGACTTCTTCTGAGAAAGATGTGGTAAAACATCTCCTGGTAGACATGGTCATTATTCGCTGCCTGAGTGACCATCAACTTGTATTCAATGTACCATCATCATGCTCCGGATCCAGCTCCCTTCGATGATGGTGAGGCGACCACACCAGGATCGCAGGACAATGCCAAGGGAAGGGGAGCATTATTCAGTGGCTCTGATGTTAAGTTCATGTATACATTAAGATGATCTCTGTCCAAGCGCTTCTCCATTACATTCCGCTGTTTCCCGGTATGTAGGTAGTGAGAGAACCAAAGGAAACCAGATTCCGGAGAAACAGTAGGGATGTGACAAAAGAAAGACAAGAAAAAGCGGAATGGCCACAGGAAACGATTTACACCACTCTGGGAACACTGATACTGCATAGGTATACAAGACGCCGATCCGATGTGAAAATGGCCATCTAAGCGCTCGTAGTTGCGCTTGAACTGGAAGATCTATGCAATCAAACATTACATGAAAGTAACGTCTCAGTTTTGTGCTAAGGATAACACTAGAGAGGTGCAGCCCAAAATGAGAGCTTTGTAGGTCCGGATTGTCTTCGTTGGCATTACACTTCTTGGGTATGTACCGTGGGCTATATATCTCCCCGGTGAAACTTGAGTTCGATGAACCATCAGAATCGGAATTAGAGCTGCCAAAAAGTATGAGCAATACAATGAAATACAATGGCATTGATTTTGTTTTTTTTTAGAGTGCCACACAACTAACTGAAATAGTAGCAGGACTAATGAACGTGCGCATGCTCAATACGACTCAAGAATCTGTCAATAGAGAATGGAAGTCGGTTTAGGTACTTTTCTCATTGAACAAAGTCTACCTTGGGTTGGAGATCTGTTCATGGCGGTAGAAACTTTCCATGGTCGGCATGAGAAGCACCATAAGTATCAAGGTGTATTCCATCAAATACTCGCCTTCACATTCATATCCTCTGCTTTGTTTTGTATTTGGGTGTTTTAGGAGTCCGGAGGTGAGTTAGAAAGATTGACTGGGTCAGCAGACAGTACTCATACATGACCTTTACGGTTGAAGAGTTAACGCCATAATAAACAGAAGATGAAACAGCGAGTTCACCGGTCTATGTATGCACTGAAATAAGTTGTTAATTATCCAGAGGTCAGTACAGAACAAGAGTAGGACAACGTGCTTCAAAGAGGGTGTTGCCCACCTCTATGATTAGCATCATCAGTATTTTTGTTTGCATTTTTCTGTGGCACCACCATTCGATTAACCACCAGGAACCATTATTGGACCGAAATTGAGATCCCAGGCATTCACAAAATCTTATAACAGTGATCAAAAGACAAAGATAAAATTTAAATTTGACTCACCATTCACACTTTACATGATGCTGGAGAAAGGTGTGCAAAATAATTCAACACAAATAGTTCCGACCCAACCCCTGGATCTAGTATTAGTAAATGAAGAGTCTGAGATGAGTACTTCGTTTTGCCCAAGACATATCACATGGATTGACCGGAGTGAAAATGGCATCCTGCTATTGTGCCACAGTTGTATAAAATCATGAAATTCAGATAAGAAGGCAAAGAAAGACGTGGAAAATGCGGAGGGCTGTCATTAACAAACATGAAATCTGCCAAAACATCTGATTTTGAACTCGCAGTACCATGGTGCATCTTGGACCTAGAAAAACTGACACCTTCCATTCTTTCCACAGGAAGGTTTTTGGCTGAAAGATATCTTGAGATATATCATATCAGCACCAAGAGGAAATATTTATGTATGCACTAGACTTGATTGCAAAGGTCTGCGAGATATTTTTGTGAGGTATAAATATAACAGTGCAGTAAAGCCACATACCATCATTGTCACTATACACATGCACCATTCCCTCATTCTTCCATTTGGTCCCAGCAGTTAACCATCAGGGATATAGAAGATTGACACCAAGTGTGAGAATTTGTGTAACCCAGGAAAAGTAATCTGACATGGGAAGAAAATACAAATATCCTGTCTACATGATGAGCCAGATGAAAAAGCACTTCATTTAGAACAGTGGGCAAAGGAATTGAACTGTATAGAACCATTGTCCTGCTTGCTGGAAAGTAATACATCATCTCAGTGAAAACTCAACTCATATGCTGGAAATCTTTGAAAGGCCTGATAAGAAATATGGCCAAATAATGACCATATAAGAAACAAGTTCAGCAAAATAAGTTGAAATAATTACATGATATGGAGGTTACCATGGCAATGATTCCCGATAAGTACCTTATGGAGTCTTATGGCCAGAACTTGTTTCTTATATGTCATTATAACCTACTGTACCATTTTGTTGAATTCAAATGTCATGCATCACAGTGACAAAATCTGGCAATGGAAATGATTTTTTCTTGATTATTCTGATTTCTTTTGATCTAATTGCATCGCTCACTTGGGACTGGGATAGTAGTCAAAAGCACCCCCTGGAAACATCTCCAGGAGGCCTTAAAACATCAAATTTCAGTGCATCATGTGTCTGAGCCAGTAATGTGATAATGGAGAGAAGAAATTGCGATGAAAGAGTGAGAAAAGATGTTAAGTAGGAAGATAAGATTGAAGGTGGGAAGGACAGTGACATGAATAATGAATATTGAACACTCAGAAGGACTGCATCAACCTAGCAGCTTCTCTTCTGGAGAACAGAATGGCTTGCAGGAGTATGGGGTTCTTCTATATGTAGATCTGAAAGGTTGTTAGTGACCAATTGAACAAACAAGATCAAACAACAATGCGTGACTCGCACTTCGGTCAGGCATGTATGAGTTGCTTGCAGGTTCGTTCTCAGGGAGCATGCACACTTAGTATTGAGAGTGAGTTCTAGCCAAGTTATTGGGTGAATAAACTTTAGTTCAAGACTGAGGTTTAAGACCTGCAGTCGAGATACTTATATACAAGTTTGGGTATTCTAAATATAGTACAAAAGTCCTGTAGCAGCATGTTAAACACCCAGTACCAGCATGTTTTGATGCAATCATGGTCAGAATATTAGCATACGCTGATTATGATAAGTCGGATAAGATAAGATGCAGTGAAATTGTAATATTACTCCCCCATTAAGGCAGTCATCCCGACTGCGATTGTGTTTGGGAAAAGTTTTGCTCCCTTCAACATGTTTCCAGTCTTTATGAGGTATTCCTCCAGGGCTTGTACCAGTGGGTGGTCTATTTCGGATTTGGTGACTGACTCGGTTTTGGACCAACTGTCGGTTTCATCTTCATTCTCCCACCAATTGGCAGGTGGGCAAGTGATGAACAAGACTTGTTTGAAATCTTCAATC